CGGGCGCACTGTACTGTCTGTTCCTGGAACAGATAGGAAGGTACTGACATCAGGTCAGGCCTTGAGATATGGTCTCATGGTCCCTCCTCAATATACTGTGCTCTCTGTTCCCGGAAAACATAGATAGGAAGGTGATAATGCTATACTGTGTCAGGAACAAATTGCATAAACAAGGCTTTGTAACTTTGTAGTTTTTGCAAATAAATAGGCTGTAACTCTTGCAGTCAGGGCTGCAGTTCAGCCTTTGCTTTGGCGGGGTGCTGGGACTGCAGACAGCTGGCCAGCTTAATAAAGGTTCCTAAATTTAAATTCTGAGTCGGTGGTCTATCTCGCTGAGTCAACCCATAACAATACCATTGTTATTCGCACTTACAGGTGAGGAAACCGAGGTACAGAAGTCACAGTGAATAATTGGTAGGACTGGGCTTTTTTATAAAAAAAAGATCTTTTTTAAAAAGATGATTCATTTTTAGAGAGGAAGGGAGAGAAACATCAACGTGAGAGTGAAACATCCATCAGCTGCCTCCCGCTTGCCCCCTACAGGGGACCAAACCCACAACAGGCAACGCAGGCATGTGACCTGACTTGGAATCAAACCAGCAACCTTTTGGTGAACAGGACGACACCGGCCTGGCCAGGACTTTGTCCAGGTGTTTGTCTAGGCAGTGGGCCTCCAGGGCCCTCGCTGTGTTACTACACTCTAAAAACACTGAGGTTATTTTAAACATGTGAAGTCCCACTGGTCCTGGGCAAAACCCTTTGTCCGAAAGGCATATGCTGCTTCTCACAACTCACGCCAGCTGGGAAACCGGCAGCACTTTACAGCTCGGCGTTTGCACACTCCCTGTGTCAAACATTCGCACCCCAGGACCACGGGCCAGGGCATGAGGCAGTTCCTCCTAATTGTGCTTCATGTCCGCGAAGCAGACTCTGATGACGCCCAGTAGTTATGAGCTGAGCTCAGACTGGGGTTGTCATAAGCTTGAGTTAAATCCTCACTTTGCCTCAGAAGAGCTAATTACCTTTCCCTGACTCCGTTTCCCTATTACAGACATAAAGATGCCTCTCATGGGATTGTGAAGACTGGATGAAGTAATGGACCGAAGCATTTCAGCAAATTCTGAAACCCAGACACGGTTGCACCTCAGGCAAGGGCACAACAAATCACGTTTGTTACTGTGTCCCCTTTTGGAAAAACACTTTCCCTTGGGAACAGCTTTTTACCGCCCGCTGGACACATCCTGCAGGGACACCTCTTCCCAGCTAAGGAACAGCAACTCTCTTCCCAGCATCCGAACCTTCGCTGTCTCATCCAAAACTGAAGGGGAAAATGCAAACAGAGAAAAACCACAGAGTTGCAGGCCCCGCATCCCCACTGCAGCAAGCCTGGCGTGGCGCCTGCTCCTACACAGCCAGACCCGGTCTCTGGCTTTCCCAGACTCTGCGACTCTCCCACAACCGAAACCCCATGCACGTAGTCGCCAATAAACCTGTTAGGCAGATTTGGTGGCCATTGCTTGCACAGAGCTTCATGATCTACTTTTCAAGAAAAGACTAGGTCTCTGTGAAGCTCAACAAATTCGTTTTTTTAAAACCTATTTTTATTGATTTCAGAGAGGGAGAGGGAGACACAGAAACATCAACGATGAGAGAATCATCGATTGGCTGCCTCCTGCACGACCCCTACCAAGAATGGAGCCCGCAACCCAGGCATGTGCCCTGACTGGGAATGAACGGTTCTTAGGTGGATGCTTAGCCACTGAGCCACACCAGCCAGGCTCACCAAACTCTTTATCCCCTTTCCCTTTTCCCGTGGACAAGGAGAGGGTAAGAGATAACACTTGCTGGGCAACAAGTTATCACAAAACCTAGTAGCTTTATTATTGACTTATTTCAGAGGGAGGAGGAGAGGGAGAGAAACATCAATGTGTTACTCCTCTCACGCACCCACTGTTGCTCCCTGCATGCGTCCTGACCAGAGACTGAACCTGCAGCCTCGGTGCATCAGGATGGTGTTCCGATTAACCGGGCCACCCGGCAGGGCAAAACCCAGTGGCTGTAGACAATGAACGCCAATTATCTCGTCATTTCTGTGTGTCTGAAATCTGAGAGCAGCCGTGCTTCGTGGTCGTGGCTAAGGCTCTTTCGTGAAGGTTGCAGTCGAGACGTCAGTCAGAATGTGGTCACCCGAAGGCGTGGCTGGGGCTGGAAGACCGACCTCCGAGATGGGCACGCACCCTGCGGGCACACGGCCTCAGTTCCTGCCACATGAGCCTCTCTACAGGGCTGCTGGAGAGTCTTCCCGTGGAAGTGGTTTCCCGCAGAGTAAGGGATCCAAGAGAACAAGGAAGCCATGATGCATCTCAACTCAGCCCTATTCGGGGTGAACACCAAGAGGGAGCAATGACTGGGGCCTCTCAGAGGCTGGCTGCCACTGGACACCTAGAAGCCCTGTGGGTCTCTGTTCCCAGCCACCGTCTTCCTTCTATTTAGCTATTTCTCTTCACCCCAAGACCATCTCATTTCAGACAGTCATGGATATAAGGAGGCAGATGTGAATGAGATGCAGACAGGCAGGGTGAAGGCCTCAGTTGAAGGTCCAGGTCTGAAGAACTGGGAGAGCAGCAGACAGCCTGTAGGGAGGGGAGGCAGGCTGCCCAAGTGCAGGACAAAACCAAGTGTAAGACATAAGTGCTCCCCCGAGCCCACCCTGATGGATGAGTCCTGTCCCGATGAGCCCCAGAGAAACTGACTTTCAGCTCAGCCCTGCCGCTCGGAGTCCAGGCTGGACTGAGAACTGAGACCAGGCTGCTGCCAAGCTGCCACGCACTGAACCGTGTCCCCTCAAAAGTCGCACGCTGAAGCCCTAACGCCGAGACCTCAGCATGTAACTGAATGTTCAGCTGGGCCTTTAAAGAAGTGATTAAGGTAAAACCGGGCCATCAGGGTGGGTGCTAATCTCATCTGACTGGTGTCCTAAGAAGACGACATTTGGACACCCAGAGGCACCAAGGGCACACCCAGGGCGATGACCAGTACGGACAGCAGAGAGCAGCCATCAGCAAGCCACGGAGCAAAGAAACCTGCCAACACCTGCCTTTTAGACTCCCAGCCCCTGAACAGGGAGGAAGTGACTGTCCTTGTTTAAGCCCCCAACTCTGTGGCTTTTTGTCACACAGCTCGGGCGGCCTCAACACGAGCCCTCTGGACTGTTCTAGGAACCAGCTTGAAACCTCTGCCATGCAGTGTGGTATCGGAGCCAGACACGAGCCTTCCTCTCCAGACTCAGGGAGGTGAGAGGATGCTGGGCTTCCCCGCCAGCGGGCGAGGACAGGGCTGTGTGGAGCCACGTGTACACTGTGTGCACCCAGACTCTGGTTCCTGCTACAAGTTCCTGATGGGTCCCAGGACCCACTCCTCCTCTGAAGGTCGTCTCCACACGCACAGGTTCCTAGCCACCTCCACCGCCGGGCACATCTCCCGTCAGCTGGACAGTGCCTTCTGTATGCGTTCCCGCACTTCTTTTGGTCCCAACGACACCATCATCTCAGCTACAGGCGGTCCTTGCTGAGGACAGAAAGAGAAAACATCGCCTATGAGCCCAGCCTTGGTCTGCAGAGTCATACCCCAGCCAACCCCACACCGCTGCCTGTACCCCAGGGCAGGGACTGCACTTCACTGTCTTTGATTTCTGAGGCTGAGGCTGCATCCCCGGAGCCTCTTCTTCCTGTATTGACATGTCTGTTACCTCCAATCAACTGCCAGCTCCGTGAAGGATGACGGGAGGGAGTGTGTGTGTTTGATTCACTACTGTATCCTCTTTACATAGTGGCACTGGCACAGTAGGCACTCAACAGGTGCTGCTGAATGGGTGAGGGGAGTGCTCAAGTTTCACTCATCGCCAGGTCCTTCTAAAAGCCTAGAAGTGGGCCAGTCTATGAGGGGCCCACAGGGGCCAATGCAAGTGAGCGGGAGGGAGGACTCCGGAAGACTATCAATTAGTGACAATATAAAGGGTACAATGTTCAGGCCAGCCTGGGGAGGGGGGGTTCAGCACCCACATGCGACCCACCCAAGCTGGGGAAGAAAAAACCACCAGGGTACCGCATACCAGAGTCCCAGCATGTGGGCATCACATAGGGAAACAAAGCAGGTACCAAAATAAGAGGATTTACTAACTGCTGTAACTGCTGCCTCTGTGCAGTCATCTCTATGCCTCGTTTTCTCACCTGTGGGTCTGCACCTCACAGAACTACACTGTGCCTACATTAAAACAAGCAAAGTACTAAGTACATTGCTTGAATGGGAAGTACTCAAAAGTATTAGGTCTCATTCTATCTAATAATAGAGAAACATGGTAATTAACCATAACAT